GTAGTGAACTTTGGAAATAAGTACACTTAAAAGCAGCACCATGAACTTGATAACACTAAGTATGACAGAAGGATGCAGTGTGCAAGGGAGTAGATATCTATATAGAATGACACAAACTGATGGCAAAGTACTCAAGGAACGAGTCAACGTGGTGGTGTACTATCAGCAAAAACCTGAGGGACAATGACAGTTGCTAGCATGGTGTTGGCATGTGCAGAGTACAGTTTCACTTCAGCTGAACCAAGTAAAGGGATCATAGTTAAACACAGAGCAGTAAGAGCTGACAAGAAATTACAATGTACAAAATACAACACAGCATAGAGTCATCTGAGCCAATCATAATGAGATGAGGCAAAAGAACTCACAGTTCTGCAATACAGTATATCTGAAAATGAACACAACAATTTTGCAAGATTAAGTTGTTTAGATACTCAAGAACTGTCTTAGGAAACAACCACATTTTAACGACAGTATCCACAGCTAACTACCTCTATGTTTAAGGTAACATTTTAATCACACTATAATCTTCAAAGTTTCATGTGCCTATAAAAATTTTTAAATTACCTTTATATTATCACTTTATTATTTATATCCCTTAGAACTGAAATATTATTGTTTGGTTTCATTGACATGATGAATATCCTTGGACTACTTCATGCAAATCACATCAGAAATTTGGATTATTCAATAGAGATAGGAGAGGAAATATATCTTGGTAACTGAAGTAATTTTGTTGAGTAGCCAAGGATATTTTTAGAATACAGAAGGAAAAACACTAGACAGGAAAAGACTTGCAAAGGAACCTCAGATAAAATGGCAGAAATAGAGCAGATGTTTGCAAAACCAAACAGCTTGGGAGGGCCAGATAAACCTGTAAACGGTTATGTTCCATACCGTATTAGCATTAATAAGAAGACAGCAAGATATAGGTACAGAAATCTTAAACGATGACATGCAAACAACATTTGATAATGATGCATATCTGGTTGCCTCCATTTTAGCATCTGACAAGCCTGGTGTTGAAAGAAGGAATATTAGAGATCTACCTGAATAAGCAGTTGAAAGAGAGAGAAAAGACAGAATTGGACCATCACTGTGATTGCTGAGAACGTGGTCAGGGTTGGTATTCTCCTAGAATAGATCACAGAATTACAAAGGAAATATGTATACTACTGGAGAAAAATACTCTTATAAAAGTACCCAACTTACAGTAGAAGCAAGCTGGAGAGAAAAAAAAAGTAACAATGGACCAGGAGAAAGAAGTACAGTGGATTAAGAATTACTCTGAGCTCTGTGAATATGAATCAGTGAATCAGTCCTCAAGAAAGACAAAGGAAATGGTGATGGGCATTTTAGATATGTGCTGTGCTAGGAAGACTCCAGAGTCGTGACAGAAGGTTATGGAACCACAAGCGATCGCAAGAAACATTTGTCCATGCAAATAAGACAGTAATACACAGCCAGCAGAAAATTATTAATAATTTATATCAATAACTCAGTGGTGATTACAGCTTTACTTCAGCTTTATGGTGCAAAAACACAGAGGAATATTCCTGTGGTGTTGTCAAGGTAACCTGCAAGTCTGTAGG